TAGCTTTCCCCAAACAAAATTCTCACATTACTTTTTGCCTTGCTACAAATCATTTACTGAATATTGGGCCCTGCCTTACCAGCACAGAATAAATGTTTGTGCTGACAGTACTTGTGGATACACACAACATTCTTTGAACTCTTGTAGATTTGTGTATGGGTCTATATTGTTAATTTGTATGTATTCATTAATTTTTATGTAACTCATTCTCTTAGTAATTCTCATCAGCCCTCCTAATTAAATATTCTTTAGATGTCTACACATGTATTACAACCTGCCTGCCTTGGTGAGGTCTTTGTACTCAGAAAGAGGAATCATATTTGAACATTCTTATCTTCTCCTTTATCTGTGCTTTCTTCTTGGCTATTTTTTTTTCAACTTGTGCCTCCTAATGTTTTGTGTTAAATAACAATCAATATATTTAATTTATAACCTTTGGTTTTTGGGGGGAGAGTTTTGATTACTGTTTCAATTTCCTTGCTGTGATTTGTCCATTTATTTTTCCTATTTCTAATTCTGTCTACATGCTTGCATAATTCTAATAATTTGTCCATCTCTTTTAAGTTATTGAACTTATTAGCACGTAAACCTCTTACTATCCTCTGAATTTCTGCAATGTCTGTTTAACTTCTCCTTTTTTGTGACTGTCTTAACTTTTTCTCTTTGAATTTTTTCTTTTTTCCCTTTGTGAGCCTATTTAGAAATTTATCTATTTTGCTTTCTTTTTAAAAGAACCAGCTTTTGCTTTCTTTAATCTTTTGAACTGTCATTTTGGCTCTATTTCATTTATTTCTGCTCTAATTTGTTTATTTCCTTTCTTCTAATGAAGTTTGGTTTTATTTGTTCTTCTTTTTCTAGTTCCTTGAGGTGAGAGATAAGTTATTTTTTTCATCTCTTGTTTCTTTCTGTGGGTTTGTATTGCCATAAACGTCCCTCTTAGTACTGCTTTTACTGTATCCCATAAGTTCTGGAAGGTTGTGTTCTCATTCTTTTTTGTCTCAAGATATATTTTGATTTCTTCATTGATGGCCTTACTAACCCATTGATGGTCTTTACCTAGTAGTGTGTTGTTCAGTTTCCATGTATTAGATATTTTCTCTGCTTTCTTTTGTAGTTGATTTTTAGCTTGATACCTTTATGTTCAGAGAATATGCTTGGTATAATTTCAGTCTTTATGAATTTTTTGATGCTTGTCTTGTGATCCAATATGTGGTCATTTCTGGGGAATGTTCCATGCATACTTGAGAAAAAATGAATGTTCAGTTTTTTGGGGGGGATGTGGTTGGTACTTTTGAAACTAAAATTTTTGTTGACACCTTTAGATTTATTTATTTATTTATTTATTTATTTATTTATTTATTTATTTATTTATATTTATATAATAGCTGGGGTACAGGCCAGAGGTGTGGGCGGCAGCGGTGAGAGGATTCACCAAAGACAGAGTGGGGCGCAGAACAGGCAGACAGACAGAAAGCACTGCTGAGGGGAGCAGCGGGCGAGACAGGAGAGGTCTGCTGTGCCATGTGGGAACCTCCCTGGCCGGCCAGGTATTGAACCCACACTGCAGAGGCTGCGGACAGCTTCAAGCACTATGCTCAACCCACTGTGCCACCAGGGAGGCCCTGTTAACACCTTTAATATATAACTTATGAATACACATAAAATTCTGTTATGTTTCCCAAATTCTTCCCCTTTAAAATGACTTGATTTAGTCACCCTGAATGTGTAATTTTTACCTGGACTACATTGAGAACAAATAAATCTGAATATTTGATTATTCCTTCAGTAGCAAAATCTTTTGTAAATTATGTCAATACTATACAAAATATTCAGCTTTGAGGAGCACTTATTGAGGCCAAATAAGGACATCAGAAACATTTCTTTCTCTAATCCTGTAAATCATATGCAGAATTTGTACATTCACTATGGCTATGAATTATTCCAGGAGAGTAATGTTTCAGGTATATCTTACTAGAATAGCAATTATCTAAAATGACACAGGGATGGCTATTGGAGGACTGAAATACTATGGAACAAAGTGTAAATTGTGGTCTTCTTAGAGCAGATATTTCCCCAAGGATACGGGAAGAAAACCCTTTAACCTCTATGTGAGACAGAAACTTATTTTGTCCTATTTTTCCTAAATAAACATCTGATTACATGCAGAATTGATATCTTTCAGGTCTATAGAGAGCTTTCTAGTTCAGTGCATTATTTGTGAAAAAAGACAAAAAAAAATTCTCTCCTGTTAGATTGTCTAAGAAAAATCTAACACTTGGGGGGAAAAGACTAGAACCAGAATGAGAAAGAACTTCTTGACTGGAGACTTTTTTTTCCTACATTATATGGATCACACTAAAGAATTTAATACTGACCTCATGTGATGTGGCCTGGCCTTTCCATTCTGACATGGCACCATTCCACAAAAGGATGACAAGAGCAAGGCAATTATAAAGGGACCCATATAAGTTGATCTTTCTTCTTTGTAGATGAGGCAAATAGAAAGCTTTGAGCAAGAGTAGAACGGCACACTATCACTTGTCCTTCCCCTCTAAAGAATCTAGGATACATTCTGCTCAGCCAACATGTTCCCCCAGGAAAGTGATTTAACTTCCACTTTTCACACAGTAAGAAGCAACACTCTAGACCGTTGGGAGGGTGATGGCAGCCTGGGAAGAATTTGGATAAGTGTTTTTCACTCCAGTATTTTCATGTGACCTGACTCTTATTCTCAATTTAGTTACATCTTGACCTGGAAAATGCAGCCAAGGTGTGCCTCTCCGCATTTGGCTTACCTTGATTCATGATGCGCATGGTCCTTTTTCTCCTACTCCCACCCCATGCAACCTTCCTCCCTTTCTTTTGCAACCATTAATAGACCCTTTCTGTGCATGTCTTCCCTCCACAGGGGCTTTGCTTCCAGGGACAGAGAAGGTGTTTGGGTCCCTGAAATATGCGCAAGGAATATCCGTCTAAAGCAGCCTCAGTGTCTGTCTACTCCTTTCACCAGATCTGACTATTCACATATCTGGCAGCTTCTTTAAGAACCCTCCAGGAGCAAAGGAATGAATAGTCTCCACTTTCCCCCTAGCTGTACTCCCTCCCCCCCTCTTTTAAAAGACTGATTTTTATGCATGAGATAATAGACAAGGCTTGGGTGACCTGTTTTCCCCCCTCCCCCCTTCTTTTTTTCCTTGCGGTAAAATAGTGCTGAAGAAAGAGGGCACTAGTGTACAGCCCAGATTGCTTCCTTGCACCGTCTGGATTAGAGCTGAGGCGTCTGCGAACCGACCGTGGCGGTGGTGTTCTGGTCCGGGGACCATTGCGCTGTCTGCCCGGACTCAGGTATGTCTCAAGTCCTAATTCTTCAACAAGATCCAGGTGAGCAGCTATCTCCCGGCAGACACAGTCCCCATCTCTGGGATTTTCCCTTCTGGTTCCAGGGGCATCCTCGCTTATTTATTTTTTCTAGTCCTGCATCCCCGGGAAACATTGGGACCATGGATGCCTGAGTGGTCTTCCTCCGTCTGCCTGCCTTTCCTCCTGTGCCCTTGCTCTTCTCGCGCCCCTTCGCTCCTTTCTTGTCCGACTCTCACCTTGAGAAAGGGAGCCGGAGAGGGAGCCAACTTCAGCCCAGCAGGCGACTGAGATTTGGCGCCTCTGCCCCCAAAGCGGTTGGGTTTGAATATACACCTGCAGGAGCACTAGCTGCAAGGCAAAGAGAATGAGGATGGAGGGGTGGTGGAGAGGCGAGGGGAGAGATAGGGGTGTGTGTGCGTGTGTGTGTGTTTGTGTGTGTGTGTGTGTGTGTGTGTGTGTGTGTGAAGAATGCAGGAAGCGGGGTTGAAAGAGCAAAATTGCGGGAAGGGGGCAGTGAAAGAATTGCAATTCTGTGGTCAAAGCGTCTCCTCCAAGCCCTCCGAGGTCTCTGCAGCTGGACCGAGCACTGTCCAGGGTTCTGAAGGCGGCCGGGCTAAGCCGCCGGGGCGAGATCAGCGAGGAAGCTCCCCAAGGTTCCCTTTCTAGCAACTATGCGAAGCCAAAGGTCCCGATTTCGGCGAGTGCAGGGGCCTCGCCACCCCCTGCCTCATCTTTCATCGCGGGAAACAAGTTACCTTATCTGCACCCTTTCTTTCTGAATATCTCCAATCAGTCAGACTTGGGGGGCGGGGGGGGGGCGCGTACCAAACTCTGACATGTGGAGACGTTAGCAGGCGTTGCCTTAGTAACGAATATGGATTTCCTCAAGCTGGAGAATTTATATTTACTATTTGGATTGTCCGTTAGGGTCTTTTCAACCCCTCAATGTCAAAGTAAAAGGTGATTCCTTGTTTAGGTTCTTTTTGAAGTAGCGCTTCCACCTTCCTGATGAAAGAATGTCCAAATTCCTTTTGGGAAAAAGTTGATCTTTGCAAATCCGAAAAGTTCTCTTAGGTTGAAAGACCGAGCTCCTCCTCCTGTCACTCCCCCCGCCACCTCAAGACAGTAAGCATAGTGGGTTTGGGGGGGTTGGGGAGAGACTTGCAGCTGTAAGAGGGGGCTAGTTGGCGGGACCTCCAGACCGATGGGGACTTTCGGGGCAAGACTCGCCACCTTCCGTCTTGACCAGAGATGCCTCCTGATCCCTCCTGTCAACAGAATGATGTGCTGAATGAAGTGGACCAGGCAACTATTAACATCGCTGACCTTAGAGTTTTGACACAGGTCCTCTTAACGAAGCTTTGATTTTTGTCTTTTGTTTGCAGCGTCCAGCTCACCGCTGCTACCACGACGCCCACTGCACCGTTGATGAGTTTACCTTGATGCTCAGGTGAAGACAGGGGGCTCGAACCCCCCTAGAAACGCCTGCAGGGCGTGGACGTGGTCGTGGAGGACCAGGAGGAGGAGGCGGAGCAGCGGGACTCAGTGGTGTGGAGGGCGAAGGCGTTGGTCTGGCCGTGCTGGCTGGCGGGACCGAGCCGGGAGAGGCGGGAGTGAAGCGTCTCCGCCGGGCGCGCCCGGAGCCGGCGGACGGGACCCGGCTGCGAACCCAGCTGGTCGGCTGTGGAGCGCGTCCTCAGCACCATGGTCAGCCTCCTCTGGGTTTTCTTCCCAGCGATCTTTTGGGAGATGGCCCTGCTCCCCAGAAGCCCGGGCAGGAAAGTGGTCCTGGCGGGAGCCTCCTCCCAGCGCTCGGTGGCCAGAATGGACGGAGATGTCATCATTGGGGCCCTTTTCTCAGTTCACCACCAGCCTCCGGCCGAAAAGGTGCCGGAGAGGAAGTGTGGGGAGATCAGGGAGCAGTATGGCATCCAGAGGGTGGAGGCCATGTTCCACACCTTGGATAAGATCAACGCGGACCCGGTCCTTCTGCCCAACATCACCCTGGGCAGCGAGATCCGGGACTCCTGCTGGCACTCCTCCGTGGCTCTGGAGCAGAGCATCGAGTTCATCAGGGACTCTCTGATTTCCATTCGAGATGAGAAGGATGGGCTCAACCGGTGCCTGCCTGATGGCCAGCCCCTCCCCCCAGGCAGGACGAAGAAGCCCATTGCAGGCGTCATTGGCCCCGGCTCCAGCTCCGTAGCTATTCAAGTGCAAAACCTGCTCCAGCTCTTTGACATCCCCCAGATCGCTTATTCTGCCACAAGCATCGACCTGAGTGACAAAACTTTGTACAAATACTTCCTGAGGGTTGTCCCTTCTGACACTTTGCAGGCAAGGGCGATGCTTGATATAGTCAAGCGTTACAATTGGACCTATGTCTCTGCAGTCCACACAGAAGGTAGGCATTGCATTTGGGTAAGAAAAGTGCTAAAGTAGCCAGGGCAATGCGTGGTGTACACTCGGGACCATAATATCGTCCTATTTATTTCTAGCACTGTGGGGAAAGTCTTTACCCTTCTCAGTACACGCCCACCCAGGGATTGCCTTTTATTCTTATTCTCTTATAATTATAGTGTAGGAAAACTATGTCCCATGGAGTTTTCTGGGGATAGTAGGAGCCAAAAACAAAAACAAAAAACAAAAAAATGAGGAAAACAAAACCAAACTCCCCACAGTGTCCAACTGCAGTTTTTAGATTTATATATTTGCTGTCATATTCTGAGTTTGTTTTGTTACACCCAAGGTGATGTACTACCCTTAAGTGACTGGCTATGATTTTCCTACTTTAATAGACTAATCCAATGTGAGTGATTAGGAAAAAAAAAAAATCACCCCCCACCCCTTAATTGGACTTGAAAGTTTTATCTTATCTTGAACAGCTGGCCTTTCAAGGTGCTTCTTTGTCCTAGTTTGCCTTTTCTTCCACATCCAAAAGTTACTTGGAAATGTTGGATTAATGCAGTCATCTTCCTCAATATAATTTAAGTTTGGAGTGTGTTAGATACAAAGGAAAAATAAATTATTTTCTTCCTGCTACATATGTTAAAATTGTCCAGCTGCCCTCACTCCCTGCCAAGAATTATCTTGTTTTATGACAAACCACACTGTTGCCCCCTTGGATTTGAGTTTGTGTTTCCAATCTTTTCTTCTAACACAATGATTTTGGTCACTGGATTTATAGCTAGATCAATAATAAATTACTAATAAAAATAGTAGACATCAAGTTTAAAACAACTTTTAAAAATGGAATAGATTTACTTGAGGTTAAAAACTTTGGTTTTCACAAAGTTTTACAGACATGAATTAGCCAAAAATTCTTATATAAAATTTTCTTTTTACTTTCTTTATCTATAGAGTCCTTCATTATTTTGATGAAGAAACTGAGAACCTTCTTATAAATTGGTATCTAGGACAATTCATGTGTGTATGCTGGCATAGGAAATAGAATTTTGAGAGTGTTGCTATATTTATATTTCTTAATATCAGCTTGTTAAAAGAAAGGCCATAGACATGACGTGACATTCTTTGCACAATATTCAGTTACTGGTGTGGGATCTGATTATAGAAATTAATATGCATTCTTATTGAAGTGGTTATATGGTTATAGTGAAAACTGATGCTTTATTTTTTTAAGAGATCAGGGACTACAGGAAAAACAGATTATGTAGAATTATGCATTACAATTTCAGACTTTGTTTTTTGGGGAAAAAACTTTCTTCTGTGATATTGTAGCTTCTAACAACTGACTCATGTCTTTAAATCTTGGTGTTTAACAGTGAACTGCATATTTCTTTTCCAACAACATTTTATATTACTTTAAGACACAAATTTAAGATCAGATGTTAATCCCTTATATTTTAATGTTAATCTATTTTAGTATTTAATATAGTTTCCTCTAGTGTTTAGATGGAATGTCATGAAAATACATATTAGAAAATATGTTCATTATCAGGATTAAAGAGAGCTCTCTAACAGGAATGGTAATATATAAATTTAAAGTGATTTATTTAAATATTTAATAATGCAAATAATTTCCCCTCCATTTAGCTAAGATATTAGATATTAGAAATATCATTTCCTCCTTGAAAAGGAGTAATGTCTTACCATTTTACACAGTAGTTTTAGTTTCCGTATTTTATTATAATTTCACATTTGGGGTGTGAAGAGTAGAGAAAAGACCCTCTCCCCTCTTTAATCTGTTTTCCAGTTGTTTTACTTTGCTAGAAATAATTGAATGTAGTGAATTGCTTTCTGACAGAATTATGGTTCTGAAAAATTCATTGGACATGAGTTTGCCAATTTTGTTGGCACAGGGTCCATATTAAAATTTTACCCTTGTATTAGTTTAGATCACTTTGTTTCCTGTCTACCTCCTGACTGGTGTTGTGTAGCAGAGATAATATCCCTATACTTTTTTTTTAATATCTCTATATCTTTATAGTAATTGTTTCCAGGCTAGATTGTGTTCATGGAACAGTATCATAGTTAACTTTGGTATCTATTTTAGTGCCAAGAGATTTAGTACCAAGAGATTACACCATTCACCTTCCTTCTCAAAGAGAATGTTGCTTCTCTTATTAGACATAATATTTGTGGAAACTAAATTGCTTTTATTTTCTGTTTGCAAAGAAATATGACAGTATCCTTTGTAGAGGCTCCAAATAAAAATGCGTTTTCCTAAGGTTCTGCCCTCCTACTTCTCAGGAACTCATGGTGTACTGGCCTGCAGGCACTTTCTTGCATCATTTAGTAATTTTCCTGCCTTCAGACTGATGAGGTCACCTACTGGTGACAGTTCCCTGTCAAAAAGCAGCTAAGACCACATATCAGTGTTGTCTCTGCCATCTGGGTACTATTCACGAGGGAAGCCAGTTTGTCTGGATATTAGCAATTTGGAGCTTAGACCTGGTCACTGCTAGTGACCTCCACCTCTCCTTCCCAAATTAACCATTTTTAGTTTATTTATAGTACCATTTCTTTTATTAAAAGTTAGCCTAGTAGAGGTAGCATCAAGACTGCTAGGTGACTAGACTAGTGCACCTTCATTTCTATGGTGAACATAGACTTTAGAATCATAGATGGGCATTGTATCCTCAATGTCCCAATTGTTTTTAAATTCCCTTATTTCATTTTACATAGAAGTTAAGCTTGGTGTTTTCTTTTTCATTTCTTTTAATCAGCTAGAATTCAGTTCTTCAATTTTGACACACGTTTAAATCTTCTCTCACATCATTTGTGCCACAATGGTTCTCTGAGAGTGACAACTGTCAGCTCATCTGACAGAAGAGATTCAGTGCAAATGAAGTTACTGGCACAAGGCTCTATGGAAATGTTTTAGGATTGATTCCTGAGAGGGATATTGAAATAGGATCTGTCAAGGGGTGGCTACACAAGCAACAGAGATGTATTCACAAGTAAAACAGCTCACCTGGAATGTATGTCTTTAAATATGCGGAGCATAGAATACAAAGATAGCCACTTCTGTGAGGAGTATCTTGGCCAGGGATACTGTATTCCATCCTGCTGATAAAATATAGGTTCCCCATCAAAAACCAAATCAACACTTCAAAAGGTTGTAGAAAATAATACTTAAAAAATAATTCCAGTTGCTTAAACTAAAAGTGTGGAAAAAGTGAGGTAAAGAATTTTCATTGTGGTAATAAACTTTAAAGTTTTTTTTTGGAGAGGCTACATTTTCCTTTGTTTTAAGGCTTTCTTCCTTAGAACTTTTTCTTGTGGCATCAGGTGAGTATGATAAGATGAGTTTATGATAAAGGGTTAAGTAAAGCTGCTTTTCTTTTGAAAATATGCACTATAAGGAGATCTTTTGTTTACAGCTATATTTTAATTGTGGTGCATCTTTTTTAGTACTTGCTTATGTTTTATATGAAATTGGCCTCTTTGAGCTTCTTTTCAAAATCTGATCTTTTTCTTTGTAGAGACGTCTTTTTCCTTTGATGTAAAATTTACTTGCATAATCTAAGGGCATCAGAGGAAAATCCTCCTGTCATAAGTACATCAGCTGGCTATTACTTTAATGCAATTACATTTAAGCATTTTATTTCTTTTTTTAAAGATTTACTTCATTTATTTATGCATATAAGACCTGGGGTGTAGGTCAGAGATACGGGGCAGGGTGGTGAGAGGATTCACTAGAGACAGAGTCGGGAGCAAAACAGGCAGATCTACTGAAATACACTGCTGAGGGGAGCAGCAGGGGAGGCAGGAGAAGTCTGCTGTGCCATATGGGTTAGCTCCCGGCAGCTTCATAGTGCTGAGACTTAACCCCTTGCACACCAGGAAGGCCCCTAAGAATTTTTTTTTTTTTAAAGATTTATTTATATAAGAACCAGGGTACAGGCCAGATGCACTAGAGGGTGAGAAGATTCACCAGAGTCAGAGCAGGGAACAGAACAGGCAGACTGATGAAATACACTGCTGAGGGGAGCAGTGGGCGCAATAGGAGAGGTCTGCTGTGCCATGTGGGACTCTCGCCAGCTGGCCAGGATCAAACTGGTGCTTCAGAGGCTGCGGACAACTTCACAGTGCTGTGCTCAACCGCCTGTGCCACCAGGGGAGGCCCAGAAATTTATTTTTAATAGATACTGTATTTTGTATTTGCACCAGCAACATGTCTTTTTAAATCTTGTGTCCAACCTATTACACTCTAAGCTATTTTAGTATTTTTTTTTTAAACAAAATAAGCAATGGGAGTAGCTTGAAATGTTATTTAGGTCAATCAGTTAAAGATGCTTGAACACCATTACTTCATCTTTGCCAAAGTAGTACCCTTGTGCTTTAAGTTTCCTAGTTGTGATTAGGGTTTCTAATGAGAATGGGAGAATAGAGGACTTAAATTCAGAAGCCAAATTTCACCCTAACGGTCAGTTTTTCCTATATAGTGATTCAACTACCTGAAATTTCCATCCGTTCTCTACTGACTACTGGGAGTCATTCAAAACAATTCAAATTCCTCTTTCATGTGATATTTGTCATCAATGAATTCTCTTTTTATACCATTCCTCATCATTTCTTTCACTCATATTTTCTAGTTCTTAATTCCCTCATATTCATATACAACTCAAGTAGACCTTAGATAAATTGTATATTACTCAAAAGTCTTAAAAAATATATATGCTTCTACTAAGTCAGAGTTCCTTCTTCTTATGCTGTTAATACTGTTGTTGCATTTGTCATTAATATTATTTCCAAGAGTAGAATTTTTTTTTCTCTTAAGTATAAAGCTATTAGCTTAAATCTGCCTTACAAGTTTAGGATTTTGATCATTTAATTGATTTTAGTAGCCCATTTTTGTGTTCAGGATTTAATTATGTATATTGAAACTGACTAAGATGTGGGGTCATGTAAAAGTCCACAGCCCCTCGCCAGCAAACTGGC